GTATACAGATGTATGAGTATGTGTGTGATTGTGTGTGATGAGTATTGTGTATGAGTATGTGTGTATGTGTGTATGAGTATGTGTGTGATGAGTATTGTGTATGAGTATGTGTGTGTGTATGAATATGTGTGTGTGAGTGTGTGAGGGTGTTTATGTGTGTGTGTGTGTGTGTGTGTGTGTGTGTGCGCGCACAGTACGCATTCCTGAACTCCAGCTGAATGGGAGCTCTCTGGCCTTGGATTATACTGAAAGCAGTTTCCTAAACAGAATTCGCAGGTTGTTGGGATGTAACCCTTGCTTTGGAAACTGAGAAGTGAAGCCCCAAATGTTCCCTGTGCCCTAGGGGTTCCCCAGGAAGTTCCTCAGGAACAGGAAATACCTCCCCACAGGAAAGGGGGCCTTGCTCCCAGGTCAGAGTGAGAGAAAGCTGAATCTGCCAGGGGCAAAAGCCCTTTCTCTGCACAGTTCTGCAACACCCCCACAAAACCCCTCTCCCACTCCCCCGAATCTGCACTCCAACCTTGCTGAGCTTTGAGAAGAGACAGGCTGAGCGCAGGCCTGTGAAGGCCAGGCCACAGATGACCAGGGAACCAGAAATTCAGTTTCCTTCTTACAGGAGTTACCTGTCCATTTGCATTTCCTGGTGCCTGGTTCCCAACAATCTCTCCCAAGTAAGTGCTTTGTTACTTTATTTTTTTTTTAAATGATACAAACAAACACTGTCCTCCCGTGTTCATTGATTTGCTTGAGCGGGCCCAGTAATGTCTCCATTTTGAGACTTGTTGTTACGGTGTTTGGCATATTGAATACATCACGGGTAGCTTGCCAGGCTTTGCCGCACTGGCGAGATACTCTCAGTACGTTGCCGGGCTCTCCGAGAGGGGCGGAGGAATCAAACCCGGCACGGCCAGGCTCACTGCGTGCAAGGCAAATGCCCTACCACTGTGCTATCGCTCCAGCCCAAAAGAGGGAGTGACCATCTCTACATTTTTAAATTTGGGGATGGCTCTCCAGGAAATGCTTCGGGAACCACACAAGGCATGAGCTCCCAACCTCGGAGCCATCTCCAGCCCCCCAATTTGTTACTGAAAGATGACTTCAAGGTCAGCTCTTCCTCTGTCAAGAACGGTTCACCACCTAAGGAAAGAGAAGCTGGAGCCATCCTGGGACAGGCAGGGGAGAGCAGGGAGCCAGGATTCTTTCACTGCTCCCCTCACAGCCCTTAACTGAAACTCTGGAGGAAAAAATAGTTTCCTTCCTTCCCGCCCCCAAGCAGCGGTGAGACTTGGTTTTTGAGGCCACCGGAACCAGCTGGGAGGTTGACCTGGCTCCTTTCTCCCCTCCACCCCACAGAGTGTCCTGGACGCGGGTCCCTGGCTCGAAGCTCCTGACCCCGGGCAGCAACTCATGAGATAACCTCAGTTTGGCCCCCAAGGTTTCATCTTGAGGAGAAACAGAATGATGTGAGGCTGCCAGCCTAAGTAAGCCACAGAGACGCCCTCCTCCCTTGGCCCCGCGCGCAGCCCTTGGACGAGCCTGTTTTTAATTTAGAGTGAGTTCTAGAAGCTCACAGCTCCCTCTGACAGTGGCCGTCAGCGGCCCTGCACTTCTGTGTAAGTGAGAGAAAAGCAAGGAGAGAGGCCCTCGGGAGTTGCTGCATTTCCTCTTGGGAAGGGAGACACAAAATTCCCCCCAGAGTGGGTGTCTCGAGGCTCCTTGGATGGGAGCATGAGACGCAGGGCCAGGAACGCAGGTGACACCAAGGGGATCGCGAGTACCTGAGCTGGGCACCAGGGCCGGGGAGGGAGCACCAGCAGGGCCCCGAGAAAGCACAGCGCCTGGCCACAGGCTCACCTGAGGGGTTCAGAGCTGACCTCCCCCAACCCGCGTCCGGTGAGGTAAAGTGCCAAGGTTAGGCTCATGTTCCCGGGCTCTCGCCTTGGGGGTCCCCTCACCTTTCTGAAGATGTCCCTCACTCAGCCTTGTTTTCCTCACTGGCAGTTTTTTGGGGTTTTGGGGGGTTTGGAAAGAGCTTCCCCCGTGGTTGGGAAGTCATGCCTGCGGTGCCAGGACTTGAACCTGGGTCCTTGTGTGCAGCAGACATGTGGCCCAGCCCTTTGAGCCCCAGCCTTGTTTTCCTTCTCATTAATGGCGACCATAATAGCGCCCATTTGGGAGGGTTGTAATGAGGCCTAAATATTAAAACACTTCCATAGCTCTTGTTGTATTCAGGCAGGCCCATTACAGTTAGCTATTATTACTATTATTTGGACATTACTATTAACCATAGTTTCTCTTAACTATTAACTCGGCCTCGTGGAATGAGGCTTAACTTGTAGAATGATCGTTCCTAAGCCACGTTTGACTGTACCGTCCTGTTTGCTGAGGCCAGAACTGACCTTTACCGCTGCCAACCCCCAGGAGCCCAGCAGGGTTCACAAGCCGCTTTCCTACACCTGGTTTGTGATAATAGTCACTAAACCCCAGGAGGCGGGAACTGCTGGTGTCCCTGGTGTTCCCCAGGTTTTTCACAGAAGGACCTCAGAAAAACATCTCCCTCATCCACCTAACGAAAAGGCCGCGGTGGACATGGAGCCGAGTCCTTTGGCTTCTGCCCCTTCCCCTCCACCGTCTGTTATGTAGGGGTTGGCAGAAAGATCACAAAACAGGTTGGTTAGTCTGTCCCAGCAACAAGGATCCTGAAAAACGGGTGCAGGGAGCGATCTCACGCCTGTCAACCAGCTCTCCCGGCCCTGAGCCCCGCCAGGAAGGTGCAGAAGGGGCAGCGGGCCCTGGAAACGCCCATCCAACAGCAGCCGGAGGAGAGCCTGGGGTGAGTCTCACAGCATTCCAACCTTGTACCCAGTTCCAGGCTGAGAAGTGAAGCGAAGCAGAAGTCCCTCCAAACTCTCATCTCAGAAATACCGCCATCAAGGGAGGCGGTGATTGAGAAAATCTGGTTTTCCGAGTTTAAAAAGGAGTCTCATAACTGGCATGAGACTAAGAGAGACGCTTAGGAGGCCAGCTGGATGGGCCCAAGGCAGGCACGCGCGGCCAAATCATCGGCACGTGAGCAATTATCTTCTTTTTAGAGATCTTCAAAGAAACTGCTGTCATAAACTTATTTATTTTAGGCGCTTGGGGCAGCCCTACAGACCCACCCCACTCGGGTCAGTGAGCCTCGCTGTCTCGCTGATGGGAATCTGTCTGGGGCAGTCGTGCCGTCCCTCCGGCAGTCCCTGGGTAATTAGTGGGGCGCCCTGCTCCCTCACGGGTCCCTCTTCTCAGACCACACAACCTCTGCTCCCACCCCGCCCTCCTGATTTCTCTGGTAAACACCAGATTTGCTGCTGAGATTGCTTTTTGCTGCAGAATCTTTTCAATGGTGGGATCAAAATTGTGGTATTTGGGGCCACAGAGACAGTACAGGGGTGAAGGCACATGCCTGGTATGTGGACGATGTGGGCTCAATCCCCAGCATCACACAGGACAGGGTTCTGTGTACTGCCTGGTGTAGTCCCAATGCTCCCCCCCCCCCCCCCCCATCACCACCAAACCCCTGTGATAATCTCCCCCAGATCTCACCTCCCTGGGCAAGAGTTGAGGATTATCTTAAACTGCAGGTTTTCTTTCTAATGCATCCATTCCCACGCTGGACTGGGGAACAGGGCAGAGAAGAAGGGGCATTGCAGCAACCTCACCCACACGACCAGCCCACAGGGACCCCCATCCTTCCTCTGGGGAACTTGGTGCTTCCCTGGTGGCACCAGAGGCTGGTCTAACCGTAGGCGCTCTGTGGCTGTCAGAAACAGCCCCAAAGGGAGCTCCCACATCCTGCTGTGAGCCTGGAGACGCAGAGGGTCAGTCCTCTGCATGCATATTTATGGGGCAGCGAGGGGCAGTGAGGGGGATGGGCACGGACATGCACTCTGGGCTCCAATCCCACAGACCTGCCCGAAGGTGGCACCTGCCTGGACATTACTGCAACAGGTGCGTTCCGGAGACAGGAAAGCCACAGTGGGGGCACTGGGTGCGGGATGGGAGGCAAAAGCCTGGAGAAGGCATGGGGACCCCCACCAGGAGGAGAGGAACCTTGAGCTTCCGTCTAAAGCACCAGCCCAGAGCCTCCCAGTCTGCCCCAGAGATGCTCTCCACCATTTAGGAACCAGGCAGGTCACTAAGCTAGGGCCCGACCAAGAACAAAATGGGACAGAATTGTCCTGTGTCTATCCCGGGGTGCAGGTGCACACACCTCCAGGAGTCCCCTGACCCCAGAGGCAGACCCGGGCAATGGGCCCCTGAGTGCCTGCACACACACACACACACACACACACACACACACACACACACCTGTATTCTATCCTGGTGCGCAGGTGCACACACACAACCAAGAGTCCCCTGAATCCTCTGACCACAGCGGCAGACCTGGGCAATGCGTCCCTTAGTGCCTGCACACACACACGCAGATACACACACACACACACGTGTCCTGGTGCCCCCTGACCCGCAGCTGCAGATCCCAGAAATGGGTCTTTGAATGCGTGCGTATACACACACACACACACACACACACACACACACACACACACACACCCCTGTGTCCTATCCTGGTGTGCAGGTACACATACACGTCCAGGAGTCCCCAGACCCACAGCGGCAGACCACTGTGATGGGTCCCTGAGTGCCTGCACACACACACACACACACACACACACACACACACACACACACACACACGCTCGCGCGCGCGCGCGCACACACACACACACACAGGCACACGCACACGCACACGCACACGCACACGCACACACTTAAACACATACGTGTCCCAGCGCCCCCAGACCCGCGGCTGCAGGCGCTGGGCGATGGACCCGGGGCGCGGCGCCCGGCACGGAGAAACGCGCCCCGACGATCCCGCGCGCGGACGCCGCCCCCCGCCGGAGGCGCGCCCGGAGGGGAGGACGCTGGGACCCGGACAGTCCGTCGGGTTCTCGGCTCACCTTGATGTTGCCGAAGACCGTGCGGCGACAGCTGCGCGCGGGGCCCGAAGTCCCGGGGCCGCCAGGGCGCGCGCCAAGCTCGAGCAGGAGCCCCATGGTGCGGTGCGGGCCGGGAGCGCGGGGGGCCGGCGCGGACGGGGGGCGGGCGGCGGCGGCCGGAGGAGGCGCGGCGGAGACTGAGCGAGAGGGCGCGCGTCCACAAGTTTTATAAGTGGCGGCCCGCGGCGCCGATGATGAAACGCGCTCTCTCCTCCCTCTTTCCGCGGCCGTCGGAGGCGCTGCGGGCCCCCGCCCCGCCCGCCCGCCGCCCCCCGCGCAGGTGGCACGTGGCGCGCGCGCGGTGGTCGCGGCTCCGGGGTGCCGCGCCCGCCCCGGAGGGTGGAAGGCGCCGAGCCGGGAGGCGCGGGTGGTCCGGCGCCGGGGCTGGTGCTCGAGGGGCGCCGGGGGTTCCCGCGGGGCGGAGCGTGGGGTGCAGCGGGACGGAGCAAGAGTCAGGGGCGCGCCGGGGGTGCAGCGGGCGCGCACTGGAAGCCGCGGGCCTGCAGGAGAAGCCCCGCGCCCGCCCTCCCGCCGTGCTCGCGGCGGTGTCCCGAGCGGGTCGTTGCTTGTCCGCACTCGCAGAAGCAGCCCTCGCCTCGGTTCCCGCGATGGCTGCGACGCTGTTTGTGAGCGGGACTGATTTCTCTTTAGGCTGCTCTTTGCGCTGGAGAGGGGGCAGGTGACAAGGTGGAGAGGTGGGGGCCGCCCCCGGGCTGGGCCCTGTGCTGGCTCGGAGCCAAGGTAAACTCCAGGCGCTGTCAAGTGTCAGCAGGGCTGGGTCTGACCTGCTGCTCCGCCGCCGGGACTGGGGTGCGGGGCTGGACACGCGGGACGCACCCCCACTGACCTCTTTCCCAGGGCTGGAGGAGGGAGCAGCGACTTTATTGCCCCAACCCCAACCTCACCCAGTTTTGTTTTACCCCAGCCAACATTGTAAGTGCAGAGAAGCAAAACAAGGCTGGGCTTTTCCCGCGAAGGCAGGAGGATTCTGCCCCCAGTGCTCCGCGGGAAGGAATTCAGATCTCGGCTCCTTTTCCAGCCCGCGGATTCCTGCAGTCGCCTGCAGAGTCAAGTCTGCCAATCCACCATTGACTCCCTGGAAAAAAGCAGACGCACCCCAGCCTGGCTCCAAGGACGATGCCATCACTGAGCCCTCCACATCCCGCACACTCCAGCTTGGCCTTACACTTGCAGGCGCTCCTCTGGTCTGGATACAGCTGGGGGCAGAGTGGGAAAGTGACCCGGCCAGGCAGGGCATGGCTTTCCTGAGAACCAGTGGAGGAACCAAGGGCATCCCAAACCGTCCACCAGGCTACGGGCTGTGGTACTGCACGTGTGCCCCAGAATGAGGCTCTTCTGAAGCTTGTTGCTTCGTGCTTAGTAGAGGCCACAGCCTCGAGGATATTTCCTGAGCCAGTGTTCCACGCCCCCCCCCAACTGCATGTGACTCCCCTTGGAGCTGTGCTTTTCACGGGACCCTTTCCAGGAAGGTGCCCAGTATACACCCCTCCCCTCACCCCCCTCTGGGTAGACCCAGTGGTGCTGCCCTCCACCAAAGTCCACGTAAAGCTAAAGCCTCAATACCGTCCTCTAGAAAATTTCATGGGGTCCAATCCCTGGTACCACATGGCCTTCAGAGTGTGACCTGGAGTTCCCTGGCACGAGCATCACCTTGGTAGTCCCCACCACTGCATTGCCTGAGCCATGCTTGGACCCTCACACTGAACCATCTGATTCTGGGAGTCACCCCCAGATCCCCTGAGTACCCAATCCCAAATCAATGGTCACGGTCCTCTCGTTGTTCATCGATTTGCTCAAGCGGGCCCAGTAACGTCTTCATTGTGAGAATTGTTGTTACTGTGTTTGGCATATCGAATACGTCACGGGTAGCTTGCCAGGCTTTGCCTTGTGGGCAAGATACTCTCAGCAGCTTGCCAGGCTCCCTGAGAGGGGCGGAGGAATTGAACCCGGCTCAACCAGGCTGGCTGGACGCAAGGCAAACGCCCTACTGCTGTGCTATCGCTCCAGCCCCAAATCAAATCAAATCCCAAATCAAAACAAATGAAAAACGATGACTGAAATTCATGCACCTCCTATATGATAGAACCTCATCCCCAGCTTTCCTGGCCCCTGAAACCCAGAGTTGAAGTACCAGGTCCCTTTGCAAAGTTCTTCCTGAGGTCTCAGTTCACCAGCGAGATGAAGCAGAGACCAGAGAAGCCAAGGACACGAGCCCCTCGGGCTCTGAGGCTGTGCCCGGCCTCAAGGCCAAGTGAGGCCTCACTACGGTCATCTAAAGATGCGGGAGACCAGCCCAACTTTCAGGTTCTGGGCATCTCTGACAGAAAGGCTTTGCTGAAATTCTCTTCTTTCCGCCACATTTTCTGGATGAATCTGGCCAGTTGTGGTGGAGACTCAGCCCCAGTGAGGTTTCCTCTCACAAAGCCCAGGGGTTCTCTCCCTCAGGGTTCCCCAGAAAGCGAGACCTCAAGATATAGGCAGGTGGGTAGATAGGGAAGGCCCCCTCCCTCAAGGCAATTGCAGTGAATTTCCGGGGAAATGGTATCAGTGGCCCTGAAGTTGCAAAAAGCCAACTTTGCAGAAAACAGAAACTAAGGTCTGATAAGACATTCACCTGGCCAGCAACAGAACCAGAGAAGGCTGGATCCACCCACGACAGAAGCTCCAGCAGGAACAAAAGGTGAGGAAAGGAATTTCAAAGAAGATCATCAACCACTCCCAACCCTCCCAACCCTCCTCCGCCCTACCTGCAACCAACCAACCAAAGGACTTTTACCTAGGTTGAAGCCCCACATAGGGGCAGGTTGGGATAACCCTATAAAAGCCACCTTAAACAAAGGCTGCCAGAGCCCATTGGCTGCTTGTGCCCACAGGGCTGCCCATGTGTCGCCCACTTCTCCCCTCTGGAGATGCTAGGGAGTGGGTACTTCCTATCTTATCCTGGGATGTGTGTAGAGGCTTCTCCACCCTTGGAAAAGCCTTCTCTCTCTCTTGAACGCATTACTCCACTCTCTCACTTTCTCTCCCTCCTCCTTCCTGAAGCCTTCAAATAAAATCTGTCTTTATTTCACTGCTTCTGAAATTCTTTTCTGTGGGGCGAGACAAGAGTCCATAACCCTGGGTCCCAGGTGGCAGAGGCAGATTGAATGAATCTCTGAATGAATCTCTCCTCCTTGCCTTACATAAGCCACTCATGGGGCTTATGACACCCACTGACATCACTCATGGCTGTCATCAGCCGCTGCCCACTAACGTCTCCTGCTTCCAGAAGAAGCCAGGCCCAAGAGCCCCACAGGAGAGCCCATGTCTGCCCAGTAGCCCCAGCTACTCGCCCTTAAGTCATCCTGGGTCCTGTGGCTGCCCTAGGAAACAGGCGGGAAGATAGGGGAGCCCCAGTAACTTGTAGTGGGGGACAACAGTCCCTGAAACCGGAACCAAGTCAGAGGTGTGAAGGCCTTCAAGACAAAGGAGCCCAGGAAGCCATTGAGGTACAGAATTCCGGGCCTGAGAGGAGAGGCACCAGGAAGCCAGGAGAGGCACCAGACAGAACAATGAGCAGACAGCCACCGGAAGATCAATGCCTTTCCTGGGGAAAAGCCCCATTAACTCCTACTTGTGAAAGAATTTGGGACAAAGGCAGCGATGGGAAATCATCCATGGCTAACCTTCCCCTAAATGCAAACAAGATCCTGTCCACTCTGGAGAAGCCCTTGTTCTCTCGGGAGCACCTATCTTAACTTAGCTCTCTCCCAGTCCCTTTATTTCCCAATGCATTTGTTATTTGTACTTCACTATCTCCTCCTGGGCCTTTCCTTTCTCCTCCTTCATCATTCTCATCCTGTAGAATCCGGAGTTCCAACCTCTGTCGACAATCAAGAATCAGGGACTCTGTTTTGTTTGCCAAGGCGTCAAAAATCAGATGGGCTGGTCATGTAATGAGATTTAGAGACGACCGCTGGACTAGAGCCGTTATCTACTGGATTCCACGGGACGTCAAAAGACCACATGGCCGCCCACCTACCAGATGGTCAGACTTCGTCATCAAAATCATGAACGATCGGTTTGAGGCTCTTCGTGTTTCTAGAACGAACAGACACCATTGGGCTACACTAGCACGTGACAGGGACAAATGGAGACGTTACTGGAGCCCGCTCGAGCAATTCGACGATTAATGGGAAGTCAAGTGATCAAGTGATCTCCTCCTGGAGAGAAGGAGAAGCGAGTTGTGGAAACCCCAAATACCTGGTAAGACTAGAACAGACTTTTCTTTCCTGCACAGAGTTAACTCCTCACTCTAACCCGAGTCTAAAGCTTCCCAGTAAATTGGGTGGCAGGGGTCATTGGGACGGGTGGGCGTCAGGGGCAGCATTATGGCTGCCTCATGGGGCCGTGAGTCTCGGTGCTGTGCAGGGGCTGGAACAGACTTTTCATTGTCCTAAATCTCCTGGAAAGAAGCAGTAGGTTTTCTTCTCAGCCTCTCTCCACCCCACTTCACACAAGGCACCTGGGCAACATTAACGAGGGGGTTTTTCCCCTCACAAGGCCCAGGGGTTCTCTGCCTTCAGGGCTCTCCAGAGCGTGAGTCCTTCTCGTGGCCGCTCACCAGCTGCTGCCCCCCTGCCTCTTCTGCTTCCAGAAGCAGCCAGGGCCCAAGCGTGCAGCAGGAATGGCCATCTCTGCCCTGCATCCCCAGACACTTGCCCACAAATCTTGTCGGTCAGGGGCCGTGTGGCTACCCTAGAAACACAGTTAACATCCTGCTGCTTGATCAACATTGGGGTTTGATTGGGGAAAAGGGAGAGAAAGAATATATTGCACTTCCAGTGTCTGTATGTAAAGTAACTCATTTTTCTAAAAGAGCAACACGTTTTGGGAGTGGGGGAGGGGTAGGGAGTGGAGAGATAGTACAGCAGCAGGACACTTGCCTTGTACACAGCTAGGTTTGTTCCCCGGCACCCCATATGGTCCCCCAAGCCCAGCAGGAGTGATTCCTGAGCACAGAACCAGGAATCAGCCCTGAGCACCACCAGGAGTGGCTTCCAAACCAAACATCAAAAGAGCAGCCGGTCCCTCTGCACCTGCTCCAAGACCCCGCCCAGACCCTTTGATTCATTGGGCAGATGTTCCTTTTCCCAGCAACAAACTCAATCAAGGAATGGCCCTTGACCTCAGGGCCTCTGTGGTCTCCCAGGAGGGAGAGGAGGAAGCCTCAGGGG